CAATTCCAATTCCAGACACAACAATCTTCTCAAACATGTTCTGTTTATAACAATGTGTGTGGACATGAAAAATGTAGATGTTATACCAATGATAGCGCTCAACACAAAAAGCTCTGTTTATGAATAGTCATTATTTGTTGCAGTTTGAAGCCTACATAGATTTTGCACAAACACAAAAGCAGTGATAGCAATTCAGAATTTCTGTACTTATCATGAGCTTATCTGTACATGACTTATTTAATTAATTCCTGTCTTTCTGCTGTAGCACTTTCTCTCCTGGTATGATGGCCTCTCCTGTCCTCACCGTTCTGCTAGCACTGATGCTTTTGATGCCTTGATGTGATCTTGATCATCCACATCTGGACTCGTTACATGGACAGCACCAAGGACTCTGCCAGATTCATTTCAGATATTGTTTATTATTGTACTGTATTGATTTATTATAGATTTTCCAAATATAGTGATTTTTTGGGGGGTGGAGGAACTTTTCATTGTGGTTTTTGTTTTTAAAATAATCATTTGCAACAATATTTTTGTTTTTTGTTTTTCTCCACAATATAGAGAATAAAAAAACTAAATAAAGCAAGCAAAAAGTGAAATGAGAAGTATGTAAAATATCTATCTATATCTAAGTTTAAAACTCCATTTGACTAATATTAGTCTTTAATCATATGACAGTTTTGTTTTCCGCAATTTTCAATCACAAGAAATCTACATGAGCTTGAAGTTTTTAAAATATAGTGAGGAAAAATATACTACAATGATTAGCCAGAGTGTGCTTTCTCGGTTGTTGGTCTACTGATGTTTAAGAAAACATAAATTAAATAACCTTTAAATCAAAAACATTCTTGGTCCTCTTTTTTGTGTGTGTTACTTGAATTTAAATAAGAAGAGATGATTTGGAAGAACTGAAAATGATTTGCTGAGATATAGATATTAGTTAATTTGGCGGTTTAGAGTCCAATGACTCATCATGGCAGACTGGAATCTCAGTGGCAATACGATTTAGGAAAGGAACCCCCAGGGGGTCTAGACCTGGACCCTAGACCCTGGGGGGCCCCCTGTGCAATTGTCAAACTCAATTGCACAGGGGGCCAAAACTCAAGGCACACTTTAGGTCACGGGCCAAACAAGATAAACATTTATTGAACACACTAAAACAATGTTTTTTAAACATAAGTATGAATAAAAACAGACAGGAATATTATTCCAGATTAAATACATTTTAAAAAATTAACTTTAAATATTTTGCTCTTCATAAAAATATATCCAGTCAAAATTATGCATGTTAGAAATATGAACATGCTGCCAAAAACCCCAGAAAAAATAAATGAAAGCATACACAAGGTTCGAGCCGCATGTAGACGGAGCTGGGCATTGCTTCAGGAATGGAACTAACAAACTGTGCGGGCCATTCAGTGTCCTACTTTCCCTTGAGTGTATCATTACACTGCAGCTCCATCTGAATCTGCACATCAGCAAAGTCCACTGACTTGCTTCAACATTACTTGGCAACAGGGAAAGTGAGGCAGGTTGCACTGGTGCATTTGTGACAGCTTCACTTGAAATGCCTTCACTGCATCATACATGCCATGTCTATGAACTGACAGATTTCCTTGCTGAACTCAAAAACTATTGAGAATTTTTCCCCAACTCAGCCAACGGACCTCTGTATGATGGCATGTTGGCAAACTCTGAATCTATTTCCCACATAAAAGACTGAAATTGACGGCCATTTAAACTTTTAGCTCAGATAAAATTTACAGTTTGCGTTATGGTGATCATTACATGCTCCATTTTTAGGACTTTACCACACAGCCTTTCCTAGTGTATGATGCAGTGATATGCTCACATTTGTCAAAATCTGCGTTTTGTGTGGACACAAGACATCGCACAGCTTCATCATGCAGCTCTTCAGAGTGGTACCAGGCTGATTTGGCTCCTCTGCTACAATAAAACTTGCTTTCACAACAGCTTCACTTTGTGATTTTGCTCTGGTGAAACACGTCTGCTGAAATGTCAGATTTTTCTTTAGCTCTTCTACTTTCTGTACTTTCTGCTCTGCATTTAGGTTTTTCAGCGTATCCTGCCGTCTTAAATTTAATTCCTTAATTACAGCCACATTAGCTCCGTGGGCCTTGACTTTGACACATGTGGTCTAGACAGTGGTAGTGGTGAAGATGAAGATGAAGATTGAGGCTTGGGTGGACCTCTCAATGACTCAGGCAAGGTGATGATGGGGAGAAAGTGGTTTGCATAAATGAGGAGAGCACTCTGAGCTTTAAATAACACAAAGTGGAAGTTGATTAGCTCAAATGGGGTCAAGAAGATGATTGGATTATTGTAATGTCAGTATTGAGTTTGATGTTTGTAATGAGCTTTTTAAAAAGATACCATGCATACAACCATTGCACTTAGAACAAGTGTGGAAATTGTAGATAATTATTAACAGGAAGTTTCTCTACCTCATTAGAATGAGCAAATTATGCATACCAGACCAAAGCAAGGTAGGGCTGATGTCACTTGGGATTTATAAGACATTATGTCTATCAAACACATGAAGGCACACAGCTACACCAAAATACAGGTTGCAGTGAAGCATTCCCATATGTTTAACAACAAAAGGTGGATGAAAATACCAGAAAGGGGGAAAACATAACTGATCACATTCTCATTTTACTATTATCACCTCAACATGTCTTGAAGTTCTCCAGAAGCCTGGTAATGAACTAATCATTTTATTAAAACAGGGTGATATCTAAAACTTGCGGGACACCGGCCCTCGAGGCCTGGAGTTCGACATCCCTGGACTAGATGGTTGGCACCTACAAGTGTAAAACATAGAAGCAGCTGTGGTACAACTTGACATTGCTACCCTGAATGCCTAAACCTTTTTCACAGTCCAGAACCCTAAACTCAAGAACTGTATCATCAATGCATGATGGGTCTTCCTTACTGAGCGCTCAAAGGAGCTTGAACAGTAAATATTAGAAGTTGAATGGAAGTTTGCCTCAAACTCCAAACCCTGATCATTGAAGCAACTGGAAGGTACGTGTAGAAAAAAGCCACAACTCAACCGGCTGCTGAGAGAAGTAGTTTGTTCAGATAAAGCTGACTGTTTCATAATAAAAAGAAAATTATTCCTCTTTCAATTCCAAAGTTTTACATATCATACACTGCTTCTGCATTTTCCTTGCCTTTTAAATAGATTAAACCTTAGAACTGAAAGGTGGTTTACTTTCATTTTCGCATAACTATACGGGTGGAACATACTGTTACGTGGAAGAATGTACAGTATGTTGTACGTATGGGAAGACATAAGGAACTTCCTCAAACACAACAATGTTTTTTTAACCCTAGAACACTATCGCTATAAATAGTAACACGATCACTAATGCCGGGTGATTT